ATCGAAGACCTTAAAAGCATCTCTTATTTCATTTTTGCTGCCGCGGGCGTCCGTGAGGTATCCGCTGGAAGGATTCCCGATATGATCTTTTGGTTTCTCGTTTAACTGACACACGTCCAACGCTTCTGAATCTTCGTCCTTTCATTATTCATCGTGGACTTGTTAATCAAGTGACACGAGGATAAACAAAGGATATGCGTGTCGTTAATGAAGTTAATTGAAGAAAAGAAAAAGAAAACAAAAAAATTGCTAACAGGTTGTTGCTATAAATTCCCTCGACGTCTCACCTGCGTCAGATCGATTAACATGCCTGACAATTACTCGCGATTATCAAGCTTTATTAGGCCATTCTTAAAGTATTTATTTCGTGTTTCCCGTTCTTGACCCGCTTTTCCCGTTAAATATGATCAGAATGATTTGAAATATTTATTAAAACGTGTATAAACGGTTCGCGTGTATATATTATAGCAATACAATAACAGAATATTTAGAATATTATTAATTACGTGAACTATAATTAATTACATCTAGGATGTCATTACTGCTGATTATCAATAGAATTATTATTATAGAATTATGTATAAAATATTTAGAATAATCATACGTATATATAATGTAAACAATCAAAGTTTACACGACTATAGCTGTATTATTAATTGTACAAAATATGTGATTATTACAGTATACTTGGAGCGTTCGTAGAATTTAAAATTTAACATGTTTACGCATTTTAAAATATATACAAAACGTCCACACATGTACGTACGTGTGCGCCAACAATTATTAATGGCAAGCAATCTACCTTCGTTCCATTTCTTTATTCGAATTTCCCACCAACGTTTGAATCACGACTACGTGTTCTATCGCATTTTCTCGAGATTATCGTCCGCGGAGATTCTTCCTCCGGAGTGAAAAAGTGAGTTTTCTGATTGTCCGCCTCTGTGATCAGAGTTGAACAGGTGACCTGCTTTCTGAACTTTAACCATTTAGAGCACGCCTCCGAAGTCTTAGCAGTTGCTCGCGATTTGCGGTTGAATTATTATTATTTTTCTTTCTTTGCTTCTGCGGAGTTGATGTTTGAAAGGAAATTGAAGAGCGAAAGATATGGAATGTGGAATGAGGGTCTCGTTCGTTTTGTTTCTTGTTCTCTTTTCCTTTCGCTTCTTTTCTTCGCGTTAACGAGTGGCGAGGGGAGGGGAGGGGAGGGGAGGGGTTGCGATTAAGTTACAATTGCTCGGACAAGTACAGGTGTTTACAGCCGGCGAATAATTGATACCAGCCGTAATTCGGTGTAATTTGTAATTAGCTGACCGCGCGTGTTTATGCAAATTTGAAGAAGTGGAAACGGAGGAACGGATATTTGCTGAAACCCTGTACGCGATGTTAAGTTACAGCTGTATGATTAACATTGTATGTAAAATAATTCAGTCGACCCGTGAAATTCGCTTTATACAATAGATTTCAGTATTTTAGATGATTCGCGAGTTTCTAAAAAACGATCCAACAACGTGGACGTATGCAAGTCAATTTAAATCATAGAAATCATCAGTGACAGAAATTGAAGCTCGGACGACAGAAATAATAGAATTAAATAGCACAAATAACAGAAATAATTCAGAAGTGTAAAATTAAGCAACAGAAATAATCTAGAAGCATAGGAAGCGTACAGAATAATTTTAAATGTGATAAACTTCAGAAATAGAAAAAAAGTAGAATTATTATAAAATTTAAGAATTTAATTATTAAAGGATCATTATTAATTATTACTATATTGTTAATCATTAAAATTACAATAGAAATAAATTAAAATCTAATTCATTGTATATGCATATTTTCCAATCTTATCAAATATCGAATTTTATCAAATCCGTTTCTACTGAAAAACTAAACCAATAACAAGTAGTAAACAATTCCCAGTTTCCAAATGGAGTTTAGCAGCCTGTAGTCGTGATTACACATTAGTCTTTCGTAAGCAATGAGAATTCTGTTTAGAAAAGACCTGTGGTTCAGGAAACGAACGATTACAGAACTGATTACGCCAAGTAATTCAGAGACACGTCGACTTCCTGGATGCCACGTGATCGAGAAAACAAAACCTCGCCGGGAAACGGATACCAGAAGTCTCTGGTAGCCGGAAGTTAAGATGCAAACAAGAAAAAAAAAAAAAAAAGAAGAGGAAAGGAATTCCTCTCGTGAAATTGTCATTGCCGATTTTAAATCTTTTCTACCTTCGTGTCTCGATAACCGAACCGATGAATGATTGCCAGCGTTTGAAACTGCTGTGACTTCGTGAAAAGGAAATCGTACGACAGTCCATCCGCTGTTCCATTTGTCCATTTGTTAGAATATATTTCTTACTTCTTCACTTATCACAATTTTTATTAATTCTTCTATTTATCGGAATATTTTTTAATCCTTTGTCAATTGCAATTTCATGTATCTACTTATTTATCACAATTCCATTTATCTATTTATTTATCACAATTTTATTAATTCTTCTATTTATCGGAATTTCTTAATCCTTTGTTTATTACAATTTCACTTATCTACTTATTTATTCAACGAGATATGCTCTTCTTCGGTGTAGAATTATAGAAATGATTAGAATATAGTACGAAACGGAAAATAAGAAACACGAGTTGAAATGAATTTAATATTTAACGCTGTATAATTTTAATATCAACATGTGTCTTCAATTATTATCTATTATTTCCATCTCGTTCTGATATTCCATGAGCGGTATCACGATGTTATCATGGTACAAAAATTCGAGACACTTAATTACACATTATCTCTGATAGAGACGCGATATTCAATAACGCGAAATCAAATCAAAAGTCTTGAAATAATGTCTTGAAACGCAGAGTCCCGATAGCGTTGAGATAATTTTTTTTTAATAATGTTAAACACACTATCGAGTGTGACATACTCGTAGAAATCAGAGGATCAATAAAAATGTACGCTTATCGTGCTCTCCGCATCTGTCGACACGTTGGAAATCTCGAGAGGATGGCGTTATACACTGGCAGACAAAATTACGAGACACTGTAGAATGACTAGACCATTTGCCAGTTTTTTTTACATTTGAAATAAATGCTTTTTTTCTGACAAAATGCGTTATATATTTCTTAAATTTGTTTCCGCTCCTTCCTCAGTGATTTGCCATTTAAAATTTCGCGCAGAATTGACTGTAAAACAGAAGACAGAAGTTTCTACACATTTTCCTTTTTGAATTTTTCATTTCAATTTCATGCATCGCGGCGACTTATATTGCGTGTAATTTCGCAACTTTGCTAATATCATATTCTTCCATCAGCGACAAAACGATTTGCTCGTTCTTTGCTTTTATTCAACACATTTCCACCATTCGATCCATTACTTCTCTTTCTTTAATAAACAAACAAATCGACTAATGTTACAGGTAAATGGTATATATGCAGATACGTAATACTAACAGATAATCGTAAAAATGGAAAACAGACCGAGTATGTCTTACAATTTCGTCCAGCTATAATTTTGTTTCTTGAATTTTTCTGTTGTACTTATTATCCTGTATAAAAGTTTTCAGATATAACAAATACGAACCAAAAGTTTTGTATTTCTCTAGAATTCTCTAGCCTATTTACATATGCATATACAGATATTATTCTAGCCTATTTACATTACATATACATATACAGGCTATTTCTCTAGCCGGCTAACTGGCGGCCTCCACTTTCCTAAGCGCCATCCCCTCCACATTGAAACTTCCTCGCCGTGCGTGAGCTTCCCCCCACTCCCTCAGTTGAATTTCCTGCTAAGCAAGTGGACAGATCGATGCAGTGGAGGGGGCAGCGCTGGCCGCCAGTTAGCCAGCCCTGCGTTAGACGAAAATCCGATATCGATTAATACAACACTGTCTAATTAACTAAAGATAACCGTGTTTATACGAGTCGACGTACAGATAAGTGGCAAAGTTGAAGGATCGTCGTTGTTAAGAGGATCGATGTTGTCCGCGAGGAGAAGATAGGACACGCGATACCAATGGCATTCTCTTGGTTAATTCGTGGCCGAGGATGAGGCAACGATAGGCCAACCGACGCGGTTTGCCTAA